TGGTTGCCGATCAATGTTTCTACTATCGATGCGTAGCCCCTGTTAAGCCACCCAGTGATCTGTTCGGAGAACCGGAATAGCGAGCTCAGAGTTAGCGCGATGATTTGATCTTGGATGTAGTAAGCGAGGTATGAAGAACGGACCCCAGAAAATGATTAAAAACCGAAAATAAATAAAAACAAAAGTGAGCTGACAGATGCCAGCCAACTAATCAAAACTCAAAAGAAAAGAAACCACAGTGGTTTCTACAAGTCAAGCAAGCTAAATAAATGAACACGCTGGTGACCATACACAAAATGCTAATCATGCTAAACATGGTGCAATGTGTTCAGCAACAAAACAAGAGAGAAGCCTTCAAGTGAAAGTGTACTATTTTTCTTAAATTGGACAATAATTGGACAATCTTACGCCTCAACTTACTCTTGGAATTTGCTGGGAACTCATGCGCACAACATGAAAAAAAAACACAGCATCCAAAATGCTAGCTGGTACTGCTTATATCATTCATCATTATAAAGCAGGGTGTCATGAACATTGTATGCAGGCTGGAATTGGACCAAAACGCAAACTCACCGAAAGGAAGCTTAAACTCAAAATGCAGCTTTATTTTCTGAACGGAGGAAAAGGCGATACAAAACAAAACTAGACTGGGAAATTCTAATGAAACTGACTCGCAAAGAAACACGGAGGGGTACACGGCCATGAGGGAGGACGCGACACGGAATGAGACGCTGACATAAATGAACACAAAGATAACGAGGTCTTTGGCCTTTGTCTGGTAACCGTTCCTAGATGTTACCTGATCATGGATTAATCTCTGCCACAGTGTTGCTGACAGAGCAATGTTTGGTGAACAGGATCGTCTTTACATGAAACATGCAATCCTTCACAAACTGCCCTCGGTTAATGGTTTTCCTGCCTCTGCAAGTTCACTAACTATGTAGCTCCCTTCAGCTGTAGCAAACTGGTACAAAGCCATTGCAGGGGGGCGCGTTATGACTAAAAAAAAGGAACAAAAACAAAAGAAGAATGCTTGGACACTGCTAGCATAGTGGACAGGGTTTTTTGTTTTGTTTTGTTTTCACGGGGCTTCCACACAAACGCAATGCAGAGGTTGAAGCATCGCAAAATATGCTTGCAAGCCAAAGACTAGAACAGCAGCTGTCGTGCCAAGGTAGGTAGGTCTCCCCGACAGAATTTGTTTCCCCTGCGTCGGGAGCACACGTGAGAGTGGGCGTTAAGGGGTCTGGGTCGTAAACCACCGCCTCTGTTCAAAGATGGTCGCTCACAGTGGACATAGATGCTTCTTTCACTCCTCTTT